TATATATGTGTAATGCATTCTTACAATCTTCCAATTTACAGTGTATTCTTTGATAGTTCATAGCATTATGTATGCAGACCTCTTGATCGTAAAGACACAAATTCACAGCATTTAAGAGCACATACTGAGAGATTCTGTAGCACTGAAAAGTACAGAAATTTTAAAAATACAACTGATCTTGCCACTTATATATCTTTAAATAGCATCTTAATTTTAACTATGTTTTCTAACTGTATTGTCCTCTTTTTTTCCTGAACAGCTACATTAACTGTCTTATGTTGATCCCCTGGATGTTCACAGTTTGCATTTATCAATTTCCTGTTCTACAAAGAAAGGCTAATGGGTGGCTTTACATTTTTAGGTGTGTTTTTTAAGATAAACAAACACAAGTTTCTTCATTAGAGCTCTCTATTTCCTGTGAGGAGGCAGAGTACCTCCAGGCTTCTGAAAAATAGGCTTTCATTTATAAAGGAAAAACTTGCAGGACATGCACAAGTAAATGCCCTTTCCAGTCCTGCTCCTTCCTACCATTACTTAAGTGCAAATGGACTGCATTTGGAGAGGGTGAGTGGCTGAACAACATCCCCCGCGAGGGGATTTCAAGGTGCTCGGAGAAGCAGACTGATGTAGTCGTTAGAGGAGTTCATCATTGCAGGCTGTCACGTCTCACAGTGGGAGTCGAAGCCTGGTCTGCTTGGTAAACTACTTCTGATCTGTCACTGAAGCTGTGCTTCTTTTGAAAATACATCTTGTTTTCCATATCCCATGTGCCTCTCAGCTTCAGGAGCTCAGCTTCAGGAGCTCCTGGTGGATTTAGACTGAACTTGTCTTACAGAAATATTCCCTTCAGATTCTTAGTAATCAACCTCGATCGGATACGGTGGATGTACCCATTCCCTCAGAAACTGAGATCAATCCACTAGTCTGATTTGCTCCTTGAAGTTGGTAGAGAACATATTGCTAGGACTTTGAAAAGGAAGCCCTGATAACAATGCATTATGACCTCAGGCAAATGTTAAGTGTCTCTCTTTGAAGTCCACATGTATTTGCCCTAGATCATAGCTTGACATAGTACTTGTTCACTAGATCACACAGCAAGCTTTCTCCCAAGGTAATAATGCTGATGAAAAACCCACTGGTGTCATATAACCAGCCAATTGTTTGGATAGAGGGAACATTCTGAGATTGTTAAAAATATTGGCTTCAAGATACAAAATTATTATTATCACACAAATAATAGATTGGCTCAAGTGCTTAGACAAACAATTGCTCCATTGAAGAGGATGGTGAGTTGATTCTTGTGGAGACATGAGAAACACTTACAGCTTTTATAGCATTGTTTAGAAAATGGCAGCTTCACAGCACTGAATACTCACTTCTGCAGCTCTCCAAGTTCCAACTCACCACCAGCACGGGAAACACTTATGTCCATGTGGAAGATGGGCTTCGGGGTCTTCTTGTCATGTCTATATTAATGGTCATTGTATACCTTCTTCATATGTCCTGAAAGAAACACACACATGCACACATGACCAGAGTGAAAAGTGAGTTGGAATTTGGGGTCGTCTCAGAGGGCAGGGCACAGTCTAATGTCGGAACAAGCATGGTTCAGTCACCACCACACAGAATAATTGGCTGGTTGGGAATAACAAGATACCTAGCAAGAAGGCGCTGAGAAAAATCCACCCCTGCTCGAGGGGTTAAAAATGAATCTCTCATAGGAAAATGTGGGAGACTATGGAGAAGAGACATGGAGACAGGAGAATTAAAACGACTTTCTCAGTTTTGCACTGAACTTTTGCTCCCAGCAGGTGGGCTCTGGCTTCCTCCCACCCCCAGCCTTCCTCCCCTGCCGGTGTGCAGTCTGTTAGGTAAACAGAGACTTTACACTGAGAAAGGAACATTTCTCTATTTTGGCTATGAGTTGTTATTTTTAAAGCTTCATCCTCCAAACATTTTTGCCTATCTTGTTTATTTTTTCATTAGAAAGAAATGGACTCCTTTTTAAAAAATTCAAGTGCATGACAAGGAAAACCTATTTCTCGTATCCCCTCCCCATCTCTGAGCTTTGACCACTGCTTCACCTCTGTGTGAACAATATAATGTATAAAGTCTTGTCTCTGTTAATACAGCATTTTCCTGCAGATTTTCAAAGTAAAATGCACGCCACACTTATTTTCTGTACACTTCAGGTTTAACGGCCAAGATCTCTGCTGAAGGATAAGCATCTCACATAGCAGTATTTCTACAGCTATGCTCCATTCTATGCATTTTATATGAAGATGCACTAAACTTCATCTAAGCATATCATGGCACCTGCCTGAGTACTGACCCAGGTCAAATGGGAAGAGACTGACCTCAGTTGTAGAGGCCCTGTCCATATATTCCCCAGGGGATGTATGCGTTGTCTTGCATCTGTGTTTTTGCTTCTGAGTCTTGTTCCTGTTTTTATCCTTTCATTCACAATGCCCATGGCTTTCTTCTGTGTACCTTGATGTCGATCTAGCCCAGTGGCTCAATAAATCTCATTGAGCTAACTGAAGCGGCAAGAAAGGAAGTTAGAAAAAAAGTCTTCATCACTGAAATTCTTTTGGAGAGGGCTGATAGGCAATGTAGTTTGACCTAACGGTTTTGAGTGCTAATTCCTTCGTTTGGAAAGTGGAAAAAATATTATTAAACTTAGAAGTTAGTTGAAGGTAGTAAATGAATAAATTTTAAGTGATTCACATATTTCAAATCAGTGAGAAAAAAGTGGTATGCTCCAGAAAAAAGTGTTAAGAAAACGAATTCTTTACCTGAAAAGAATATTAAGAATATTAAGAAAATAAATCCTGAGTGAGAAATATACTAAACTATATATGTTCTTTAAATTGGTGAATCATGTATTTTGTGGTTATATCTAAGTGAACTTGCTGAAACTGAATACATCTCAGAAAATCAAAGATTTAAACATAAAAGCATGGACCATTACTAAAAAGGAACATAAAATAATTTGTATGTTATTGGAATGGGAAGTGACCTTTTCAAGCAAGACATACAATTCTGGATCCATAAATGAAAAGCTTGTTACTCTTGATCCTGTAATAATAAAATGTTTTGTAAAAGAAGACATGAGAAACAAAATTAAACAAACATACTATAAACCATGAGAACACATATAATGCAGGACTCATTATTATCTTATCTTAAGAAATCTTAAGAATCAATGCTAATGTCATCAATAATGCAACAGAAAAATGTGGGCAAGGTTTAAGAGCAGGCATCTCAGAGAAAGAACTCATGCCAATGTATTTTTCTATAGACATTGGAGATGTAGCTCAGTGATACAGTGTGTGCTTAGTATGTATGAGACTCTGGGTTCAGTTCCCTAGGAACAACAAAAGAAGTTCAACAAACAGCTCTTTGAAAGCAATATTTAAACTATTAGAATTAAAAACATGTACGTCCTCTTATATAGCAATTGTATTTTTAGGAATTTATTTTGCAGTTATCTCTACATGTTCAAAGACATAAGTATAAGGGTTGTTACTGAATAAACTGTTTTAATAGTACAATACTCAAGTCAAACTAAACATCAACCAAAAAAGAAGCAGTTAAAGAAATTATAACCATGTGCCATATAACAACATTTTGATCAACGATGGACTCATGTACAATGCAGTCCCATAATATTATATTGCATAGTGATATTGTAGCCTTCTTAGGCTGAGTACATTTTATGATGTTCACACAGTGGCAGAATTGTCTAATGTCCCATCATTAAGTGACAAATGACTATATATCATTTTGTTCAGTGAGAAAATTATGCAGTTATTAAAAAGTTAATGAAGACTACTAAGATCTATTAAAGACAAAACCAATTACTAAATAATGTCCTTGTGCTTATGTTTTACATATTTATATATTTCACAGATACTTTTACATATGCATAGAATATTTTAATATCTTCCTGTGTTTTAAATTCTTCAAAACATCATTTGCCATAACGAATGCATTCCTTTCATACATAGTATCTCCTTTAATTTCTGAAACACTTCATAGATAAAATACTAACATGTACATTTAAAATGCTATATGTTATGACCCTTTGAGTTCTCTTATTCCCCTAATAGTTTGCAAATCCTAAAGTTAAACCCTGTGTGTCAAAGATCTGTTGTGCAGGAAGAGAAGCCTGAATGTGTTCTAATGATGTGAGACATGAGCCCACATTCTCTTAGGATCAATTCCAATGCCATCAAGTTGGTTAACCCTACCATTCTCTATGGTATCATAAACCAGCCCAGTTATAGTCTGTAGGTACAGTCAAACCTAGGAATTGCACTGCTTTGAAATTTGCCAGATTTAGTACTTCATACATTTGGGCGTGAAAATTTTGTACTAACATTCATTTATTTGATACATCATGGTGTCAACTGCCTTGTGATTTGCTACTCTTTACAATTGAAACAATTTTCTTTGGCATTCATTGTTTTTGGCACTCATGGTACTCCTTGGAACCAATGAATGATGATAACTGAGGTGCCACTGTATCCTAATTTTTCCTGTACAATAAAAGAACTTCAAAACATATTTTAGGACTTGGCCTATTAGTTTAAGGCCATAAGCATGTGAAAGCAAAGCCTCCCCCCAACACTTTTTAATCCTCACACACTATAATGTCCGGAATATAGTCAGAGATGGAAAAACTTAGGCTACAAAAATCATTACCTGAATCTTAAATCATTTGCTATTACTTGTAGATTGAAGTGTTCCATATTCAACATAGCTGATGTGGCAACTGAACACGACATCTCTCTTAAGAATTTGAAATGAGACTGTTTTATTACTGCAAAGCTTTCTCTATCCTGCCATCTCAAATTCAAATGAAAGTTCATGTATCCATGAAGAGAAGGGGCTGAAGATTTTGTTATCGATTTGGAGTTGGTAGATTTTTATGACTATGATCCTTATTTCTTATAGCTTTTCTCTCCTTTAATGCTTTTTAAACTTTGTTTTCCTAGGAATCAAGGTAAATGTGTAGAGGGTATGGTGGAGATCTTTGACATGCTGCTGGCGACATCAACTCGGTTCCGTATGATGAATCTGCAGGGAGAAGAGTTTGTGTGCCTCAAATCTATCATTTTGCTTAATTCTGGTGAGTTGGTAACATGAGAGAACTTAATACTGGGTTTCTGGAAGAAATATCTTTTTGCATTTTTCAACCAGATATTGTCTATCCACTACAAAGGCAAAGTATCATAATTGAAAGAAATTACACTTAAAATAGCTTGCCATCATTGTAGATTACTTAGAAAGATAGAATTATATTGATCAAATGTGATGAATGAATAATGATAATTGGACATTGAATATAAAAATTTTTTCATGACACATTTGCCATCCTTTCATAGATATGAGATTTTTAAACATTTAAAATGGTACATGCATGTGGACACGTCTCTACTGATAATTATACATTTCAGAATATAGGTAGACTAGGCAACCTTGTTATGAGATTATGACCTGAGGTCTGAGGAGGTGGCTCAGTGGTAGAGCTCGTGTTTAGCATATGTGAAAGCTCTGGATTCAACCTCTAGCTCCTCTAGAAAAAATAATGAGGACCAAATTCAAGCCTCAGCTAATAGTTGCTTGAGCAGATCATATTTCTGGTTAAAGTTGATTAGCTAAAAATATAGTTGGCTTAAAGTTTTAAAAACAGGAAAAACTTGCCTCTAAACTGAGGAACATGGAATGTGGTAAATCAGTGCATCAGAAGGATGTTTTTATTTTTTCACTTGGCCTTTGGGCAGTAAGTCTATAGTCCTCCTATTTATTCATTTGACAGAGTTTAGTTAGAAGCGGCATCTGTTTTGTTTTGCTTCTCTGTTTTTTTCTGTAGTGAGGTTGGCTGTTGTGTAAAGAGTCACCGCAGGTCACCCAGATGGAAACCATGGCTCAGCCTGAGTCTGCACTCTAACCCTTCCCAGCCCCCTCTACATGTGGATCCAAGAACTAGATCTGCAGCCTGGTGACCTGAAGCTCACCAGTGGGTGTCAGCTGCACAGCAGATGCTTTTAGCAGGGACCTCTACCCTCAATCCCACTCTGCCTCAAATGTCATTCTCCTGTAGAAATTCCAGCTCTTTGAAGCCTTGGACCTGCTGTAGTTTCTCCACCATTACCTCTAGTCTCAAATTTCTCAATTGCAGAACTACAGCCTATTTGGTCATGTCCATAGAGAATCAACACTTCCTTCTCTTTCCAAATATTTTTGTCTACTCCTGATGAATGCCAGCCTCTTCCCATCTCCCTGAATAATTTTCCACTTCTCTTCCACACCAGGGTTAGTAACCCACATTGTTTGATGGCTATCATCGTAATCATTCTCACTTAGCTGAAAAATGGAAATCAGTGCTATTGCACTAGGCAAGGACTGAATTACAGAGTGAAGTTCCATGGAAAATAATGTGATCTGCACGAAAGAAGTGATTGCCACTCATTCAAGTTTCAGGTTCCACTCACACGCATTGTGCTTTTCATTTGAGCCATTTGTCCTGTACATTGAAGGATCCAGATCCCACAATGGCTCTTTATTGGATGAGAGTTCTGGGAGCAGAGCCACTCGGTGCATGCTGCCAGGTCCTGATCCTGCTCCTTCTAGGCTGGAGGGCTGGCACACGTAACAGTGTTCGTGTGGGCAATCTCTTAACTTCGGGGACAGCAGACTGTGCTTGGGACTTTTCCTCCACTTTAACTAAGAAAGACTATTGCAGTCAGGAAGTGAAATTTTTCAGAGTTGTAGAATCAACACAAGTACATGCATTGATTTTGTTAATGAAAAATATTTTCTTTCAAGAACATAGCCTTTCTGTGCTATTTTTGTTTCTGTTTCTAACAACAGTGTTAGTTTATTAATTTTTAATATTGCACAGAAATATTTGGAAATTGAGAAATTTGACCCTCAAAACTAGTTTCATGGATCCAGGCTTTTGATAACCCAGTATGGGGGAATCTTGCAGTCTTCTTCAGAAGGTCTTTTATTAGAGACTGGCTCCAGCACCTCAAGACCATGTGTGCCACTGCAGGATGTGCCCTCCTCTTACTCGTCACATTAGTGGAAGCTTCATATTCTGTCCTTATCTTATTCCTTCTTTCTTGGGTTCTCCTGTGTGCTTGCTTGCTTCTGACGGGTTGGAATACTATTTTAGAAAGATGAGACTGTATTCAGATACAGCTTGCAGTTATTTTTTAATGAGATAAGAGGGCAACAGTTTGTCTTTTCTATCAAGGGTGGTACAGCCGGCTGTGGAGAGCAGCAACCCTTAAACAGAAGCACGTTCTCAACCACAGCAAAGGCAAAACCATTCTCGCTGCAGAAGTGAGCTCTGCTCTGGAAAAGCAGAGCCTCTGCTGTGCATAGCTCCCAGTGTGTCTGATTGTCCCTGTCACAGTAAAATCAAAGGTAGGGGTAAGATTCTAAAACATACAGGGATTATAGTGGTAGGCTGTTTCCGAGAATAAAAACAATCATCACAGGAAGGTTACCAGAACCAACAATGTTTTCCCAAGTAGAGGTACAGATTTTTTGGAAAACCTAAATGAATCTATGATTTCTTTCTAAAGCAGCTTTTTACCTATAAGAAAAATTAAAAAGTGCTTCTTGCTGTAGCAATCTCCAACAGAAGCCATACTAAATGATTCAGAAAACCTGAATTAGAAGATGCCTTCCTGTGCCTTGGCAGCAAAACCTGAGTGGACAGGGAGACCTCAGGTTTTACGCTGTGTTCCCTGTCACAAATATGGACTGTGTCCATACTGACTCTGACTTTTAGGCACAGGTGCAAAGAGAATTGAAAGCTTGTAGTGAGAACCTGCTAGGAATGTTGTTCTGGGAGTTCTCAAAGGACCACTTGAGGGCCAGATTTCCATGGAATGTCCTCTTTCCTGTTATGTGTATGATTTCTCCCTCATTTAGAATAAATTATTACATTACTTCCAAAAATTCAGAATCACCATAGGACAGCACTTTGTTTTCCACACTAAAGGTCAGAGGCATTCCTAGTTAATCCCCAACTGCCTTCCCAAGGTAAATGGCACCTTCAAGCCATTCTGAGAACTAGCTGGACTTAAGAGGAGGGTGAACAAAATCAGAGCAGATGAACTCAGGGCAAATGCTGGGGAGAAACAGCAGCAAGAAGAAAGGGGACATTTGCAGAAGGAACCTGGGAAGGAGGCTCTGTGCATGTCTGTGGCCATCTTCCCATTGTGTGTGACTTCGATTCTGCCTTGTAATCATTCAACTCTTCCCAGTTCTAGGCAAGCTCAGCTCTCATCTAATTCAGAGAGTCTTGCTACTACCCAACCTTGCAACCTTTTCTGTACACTGTTTCAATTCTTAGTACCCAATCTAGCATTTTAGTAGCTTGTTGATTTCATCCATTTATTCAATAATGTAACATATTTTTAGTTCCCTGTAAGGAACTTTGTGCACATATTCCAAAATGAATGTCACAGTTTTATGGGGGTTTTTTTTTTTGAGGTTTTTTTCCCAGTCTTTTTCTTTAACTTGAATATTTTCTCATTTTTTATACAAGTATTTCCTAATTTCCCTTGAGCTATTTACACTTTTAAAAAAAAGTCTTAGTCTTTAGACTGTGGGCTTTGAGTAAATGTTGCATCATTCAGTGATTTTGTAAGTAGTTATTGGTTAAATATGACCAAAATGACCTGGAAAGTTCTATTTTTCCCAAGCTATTCTTCCCATTCTGAAATATATCATCCTTTTTTAGTGAACTATAGCTCTAAATAATATTAAACTAATCAATGGGAAAATTAATGAGCTATTATGGGTTACTATGAACAAAGGGGAAAAGTGTAGAGTGTGTCTGATGTAGTCCTGTATCATAGTCTTCAGTCAACAACAGGCATCATCACCAAGGATGAGAATCTCGTTTAACCTGAGTGCACTCAGATCTTTCTTAATACAATGCTTTAGTTTAAAGGCCTTGAGCAGGCTTTTAAAAATGCAGAGATTACGGAGTTGTGATAAACTTTGACCATTGCCCCCAAAATGGATAACTCTGCTGTTTAAGTATGTTTAGTAGAAGGGTAGAATGAGATTGAACTCATGGGTAATGGTGATTCAAACATTAATATTGTAAGATCTTGATGAAAACTTCAGTAAATTAATGTAGAATAACCATACATTCATTTGCCATTTGGTCCTCTTTCTTCTTACCTTAATAACCCTCCAAAATCCACTCTCAATCAGGCTACTACGCTTTTTGTGAGTGTGTTTCAGGACTCAGAAAAATTTAGGTACCAAAGCTTATATGTGTAAACCTATAATCACTAACAAGTGTTTGATGCTGCCCTCAATTCAATTTAATAATCATTTCTACCATCTTCTAAACGCTTTTTGACCAGTAGCATTGAATTCTAAAGAGTTTTATACCCTTCACTTTGTTTTAATTGACTATCCAACATGAATCTGGAAAGACTCATGATTCCAGGCTGTCTGTGCTGTCTCACTGTAAGACCTTTCACTTCTGACCCATCAACCTAATCCAGATACCCAGAAATCCTTCTGTCTACCTGCTCCCTGAGCCCCTATTAGCAAGGCACCCGATTTCTGGAAGATCTTGCGCTGTTGATGTTTGGCATTGATTATCTGTTCATTCAAAACTGATCTTCAGACAAAATTTCTCTTTCAACTGATGGAATAGTAAAGAGGAAGCAGAACTAAAATCCACGTATACTTAAAAACTCAAGGACAAAACTAAGGGGAAACAGAAAGAATTCTGGCCCAGTCTTAAAATTGTGTACCCTGTTGTTAATTTGGTGAAACAAGGAGACACTGGGTATTTTAGACATAAGTCTAAAACAGTGCCAGTTATTGTCTATTATCTATTTAGTTCTGCTCTGTCATTGTGCTATATCTTGAAAAACATATGATGCTAAAGCTGGTGAATCCTGTTCACCATTTCTGTGTTTATCAGAAGCTACATGTTGGTCAATGAAACAATTATTTCACGATTAATTATAGCAAGCTCTCACTGCAAACAATACGTCTTCTCTCCTGAGATGGAATATTTGTATTAGACAATTAGGCAGAGCATTTGTATTCTTAAGTTTAGAAATAAAAGAAATGATTCAG